GATCTGATTGGTTCAAATCGGTCTTAGTCACGCATTGATAGAGTAAAAGAATTTTTCCATTCTGCATCAATTAAAATGGACGCCTCTGTTTAACATCAGAGGTTAAATTTGATCACCCACCTAGAACTCATGTAATATTAATCTTCTTGCAGTAACAGCATGTGAGGGAAATGTAATTGCTTATTTCTATTATCCATTATCTTAACCGCTTATTCCCTAATGGGGTCACGAGTTAACTGGAACCTATCCTTGTGGTCAACGGGCTATGTACACCCTGGACAGTCCGTCAGTCCATCACAGGGCCACACAGAGACATACAAGGACAAACAACCATGCACATTCACTCCTGAGGGCAATTTGGAATGTCCAGTCAACCTAACATGCAGGTTTTTGGACTGTGGGAGGAAACCAGAGAACCTAAAAAGAACCTAGAGAGAACCCTTCGGCGGCCTGAAGCTATGAAAGCTCCACCTTATTATATGCATGCTCCGTCTTTGCCAATTATTGGCTGATGAACACTAATATGATTAAAGCTAAAAAGTGAATGAAGTTCAAACCAGCTGATGACTTTCAAAGCTACAACAGTTTCCTGCCCCTTACTCATTTACTATACTCTGTTCAATTATCCTCTCTTATGGCAGCCTTTGTTTATTGTATTGTTCTATTATCTTTGTACAGTCTGATCATATTTTCTCCATCACTTAACTGCACATAATTTAATCTGTTTTGTTTTCGGTTCTTGTTGTTCTCTCTGATTGTCCGCATCTCATTACTCATCTCTGCTCATCCTCTCCTTACCTTTCCTCCATCTTAAATGTCCACCTTTTTCATTCCCACCTGTCCATACACTCTTTACACTTAGTTGCCTGCTTAATTTTCGTATCTCTCTTTATACTTGTTCTTTTCTTTGTGACCATCTTTTTTGTGTAACCTTTTTTAGTTAATGCCGACCTGAACGCTAGCACTTTTGTACTCTAACATTGCCCCATGTTCCCTCATTTCAAAAAGGTGTCACCATATGGGAGCTGATGACCTTTGGAGGGAAACCATATGATGGAATTTCCACCAGAGATATTCCAGAACTGCTTGAGAAAGGAGAACGCCTACCCCAGCCACCCATCTGCACCATTGATGTGTACATGGTCATGGTTAAATGTAAGTACAGCTTCAGAGTGGATGTGTCAAACAAATCTCACTTTGAAATGGAAACAAAAACACAGTTTGGGACATAAGAATAACTTTGTCCATGGCAAAGCCTTAACAGATAATAATATTTATATAGGAAAAAACCACATAACATAATTAGTTTTAAATACATTTCACGTGGTCCTTCTGTAGATAGAAGAGTCTCAAATAAGTTGCTACAAGCTGATACTTTTTCTCATATTTGGTCTTGTATTTTAAGCATTTCTATGATTATACACACAAATGCACAGTCAAGTCCTGTAACCTCCACACTGCTTGTATTATTGCAGGTACAGCAAGATCTACAAATGATTTATTTTATTTTGTGTGTAAGCGTGTGGAAATTTGCCTGTGGGCATATTGATCTGCTGTGTCCAAAGGTTGAGACAGGACTCAAGCTGCCTCCTGTGCAAGGGCAAAACAAAGCTCAAATAAAGCCTGTATAGGTCAAATACACAGCTAGGTTTGTATTCCTAAACTGCTGTGTTTGCTCCATGCTTCGTAGGTATGACTAGAATATTTTGTATCTTAATAGATCACCAGATGTTTGTTTCTTTATTGTTTGTGATGGTTAAAAATTCTAGAAAAACAACTTTCAGAGGACTCCTATTACAAAATGTGTTCCAGAATAATTTTTCGGGCTGGATGTGAACCGGTGTGCCAGCTTGTTGGCATCACTTGTCGGTCACTGGTCTCATCCCATCGGGTGGCTATATAACTTCTGCTCAGTGTTGCCAAGACAAAGACTTGATGCCAGCGTCACCCTGACCTTGTGTTTTTAGAGTGGCTGCCTCTGATTGTCACTGCCACCACCGATTTTACTGGCGCTCTGAACCTGCGCCAACCTGGCGAATTTACTGCAGAGCGAGGTCACTGTCACCTAACTCTTGCTTTTTTTTTTGCTTTTTACACCATTGCACACTCAAAACTCAGAAACCCAGAATGAATACAGACAATGCCCCTTTTTTCGTGTTCAGTGGATATTCATCATCTACTCAATTGGTACAGTTTAAAGTGTACCGAGGAACAGCTTTACCTGTAACATCTATTGGAATTCGATCTGTATATCTTAAAGTAATCTCTCTTTTCTGCCTCATCTTATTTCCCAGGACATGTAATGACTCAACTCATGGCCAGATCACATGATTGCTTTGGTGTTGCACGCATGTGCTCACTGGGAAATTGGCAGAAAAACACATTGTTCCATATGGTCATTCAAGTCATAAAACATTATTTATATTTTAATTGGGAATATAAAATTCCTGTTTGCACAAAGGAATGTTTATTATACAGTAATTGATTTTTTTAACCTTGTGATACCTTTGAACATCTAACATTTTTTAAAACAATATAATTTATAATTTATGTAGATTGATGGTGTAGTTACTGTTTAAACATCATAATGTTTTAAAGAAGGCCTCAAGCATTTTATATGTGTTTTTAATATAGAAATATCTGTTACTGAATGAAAAGTAGGAAAAAATGAACTGCCAGAATTCTCGCGTACGGTCAGTTTTAAAGTTTCCAGTGATCATAAAAGATACACACCCAGGAATCGTGCATTTATAAATTAACTATAGATGTATTTTTAACGACTTGTAAACATGGTTTTCAGGCTGGATGATTGATGCAGACAGTCGACCCAAGTTCAAGGAGCTGGCTGCAGAGTTCACTCGAATGGCTCGTGATCCCCAACGATACCTGGTCATCCAGGTAGGTAACTCTCATCAGCTATATGGCATGAAGCATTTAGCATTGAAGCATTCCTTTTATTTTTGTGTCATTTCGCCAAATTTAGAGTTTCACTGCAATGTATGACGAATAGTATAGTAGTTTGCTTTATTCGATTTTATGGCAATCCAAAATTAAATTGTATTGTGTGACCATGTACACGTGTATTTTTTCCAGGGTGATGACCGAATGAGGCTGCCCAGCCCAAACGACAGCAAATTTTTTCAGAGCCTCCTGGATGAGGATGAACTGGAGGACCTGATGGATGCGGAGGAGTACCTGGTACCCCACTCCTTCAACATCCCACCGTTGGCATACACCCCTCGTGCTGGCATGGACTCCAGCAAGGTACTCCATTGTTAGGATCTGCAAATGGCTCAAAGCAAAGGCAGCTTCTCGTTTTGAATGGGGATGACATACAACATGCTCATGAAATTTGCAACATTAAGATGTATATTTCATAGTGTTTCTTAAGAGCATTGGAAAGTCTGCTGGTCAAACTCTACTGCTGCACATTGTAACGAGTCTCCAGAAAGACTCAATTCACAGTCTAAAAAATCAAGTTTTAATTCCAGGAGCTAGGATCCTATGCAGTGAAACATTCCATGTTAAAATAGAAACACATGGACATGCCATGGTTAAATTACTGAAACACATCCAAAGTCAAAAAGGGTGAGAACAAGAAACATGGAAGCACAAGGAAAGAAATAACAAATATACAGATGAAAAAATGGTAGAGCCATTCAGAAAGTAAAAAGATGTTTCCATTTGAACTTTTTGGTTTTCTTTTGTTTTGAGTCAATGAAAATCTTACAGAAACGCAGAAGAATCTGTAAAATCTAAGTTTCAGTTAATACAGGGAGTGTCAAATGAAGCTGTCTTAAATAAACTTAAGCTCTCTATGTGTCTCCCATCTGTCAAATAGTTCCATCAAACTATTCATTCACATCAATTAGACCATCTTTGAGCGCTAAATAGACTAAAAGTTTGGAAATATAAAACACTGCTCTGCTTCAGCTTTCACAATTGTGGCAAAATGCCTTCTTTAAACTGAATTTGAAATATTTCAAGTGTTCGAATGTTAATTCTCTTTCTGTGGATTTAAAGCAATCACAAAACTAGTTACACATTCAGCCATTCTTTATTCTGGAGCCCCCTGTTCTTGTCAGTGTGAAAGATCCTGCTGAATGCCAATGAGACATGTCTCCAACTCTGATATTTTTCAGTGGGTAAAGGAATATTTATTTACATAATATTTGTAAAAGCAGCCTCACTGTTTTTCGAGAACCTGTTGTCTGTTTGCATGCGGAATTTATAGGATTTGTGTTATAAAGTTACATCCATCATTAATATCTGCTAACTTACCTACATAGATTATTGTGTCTAACAAAGTATATATGTATTAAAAGCAAGCTCCAGCAGTAAATGTTAATACAAAAACTTTTGGAATTTAGAAATGAATTAAGAAATGCTGTTAAGATATGACATTTGTATGCACCTTCACTGGCCAGAAATTCTGTTATGCAAGTCACCTTTATTATTCTGACATTTCAGTCTCATCAAAATGACCTGCGACATGAAGTAAACAAAATGAGGAAAATATAGTGGTTGCCTGAAAATTCAGGGGCTAAATTAAGTGGACGAAAGCTTAATGGAAAGCTCTGAAAAATAGTCTTTGTCATAAGCTTAGATACAAATTCACACAGCAGGACACAGCTGATATGGCTACTTAAACACTTTGTTGCATGGAGCGTTTTAATTAAAATCCTTTTTTTAATTAAATTGTCTATAGTCATGCAGCAGAATCATTGTTTTGCACTGCTGTTTGTCTCCTGTGTCTGTCATATTCCAATATTACAGATGAATAATGCTTTAAACTACTGGAAGTGACTCTTTTATTTTAGACAGTATTTTTGGATACTATGCTTTGTTTTGTCCTACTCTCTATTTTTTGTTAATTCATAGTTTTTAAAAGAGATTTCTAATACATTTCTACAAAATATGAATAATTTATTTTATTTCACTTGCTGTTTTTCTTTTTCAATACAACAAAGTTGAACACTCATTCACTCTGCTTCCATCAGAACCAGTTTAGCTGCCAGGATCCCAGTATCAGCATTGAAGACATGTTGGCCTCCCTCCCCAGAGTGGTTTCACCCGTCTCTGGAAGCGGTCTCCCTCCACAGGAACTTGCCTCAGGGGGGCAGATTGGTGTTGGTTTTGGCCGTGGCAGCCAGGATGACCAGCGCTGCAATGGCACTCTAAGGAAGCAGGTCTCTCCGAGGTCCAGCACCCTTGGAGTGGGTTCAATTCTCACAGTGGGACAAGGTAAGCCAGAATTGTTCGAGAGCATAAGGGGTCCTACAAACATTTGAAAATACATTTTGATTGCCATAGCTTGCCAATCAAAACATAAACTACATTTTTTTTTCTCTAAAAGAGGGTCACAAAACCAAAACTATAATATCCTCATTTAGTAAAATACATTGATTTGCTTAATTTGATCCATTGCTCTGGTACAACTACTGTATTCATACACACAATCAGCACATGACTGTGTCTGTCAGCCTTGGCTAAGAGTCTTTTTAAATGACAATAGAAAGTAGATGCAATAAGTATATGTGCTATTTTTGTATTGGTGAAAAATAACTTTAAGTAAAAGAGAACAAATATAAATTATGCAAGATATTTTAACGCATTTATTTTATGTGTCTACATTACTCTCTTTCTGTCTTTTGCTTCCAAAGGTGGAGGGGAAGATAGTAATGGACAGCGATACATTGCAGATCCTACTGGTCTTTTAGCAGATCGAGGTGCAAAGGGTGACAAGGACAAGGAGGGCTACCTGACAGCCATGAGAGACAAAAACACCTCAGGTACATTTAGATCTGGAAAAAACTACACATACATACATACTTATATCATACATGCATATATGCATCCAGAACATACATGCTTGCATTCAGATAGAGAACTGCAAATATGTTTGTTGATCTTTCATCATCATCTTATTCCAGATTATCTCAAACCTGTCGAGGAAAACCCTTTTGTCACACGTCGAAGGAACGGTGATGCCCATGTTGTGATCGACGGAGCAAGTTGCCACACATTGCACCTGGCAGGGGCTGCTGCAGCCCCCAAAAGCCAGGGCGCCCATGGTGATGATGAGTACATCAACGAGCCGCTGTACCTGAATACATTCCTCAACCCCGGGGACAAAAATGGGTTGGCTGGAGCTATTTCCATTTCTGCCTCTACGTCCTCTGCCGCCCAATCAGTCCTGCAGACAGCCAACCCATCAACAACCAGCCACAACGTTTCCTCCTCCGGATACGTGCTAACCCCGGGGCACCTTCCCCACCCATCATATCCATCACACACCTTGCATCCGGGCCATTCGGGACACGCTCTACACTCAGGCATCACCAGCAGCACTATCATGTTCGATAAGAAAGGCAAGAAAGCCACTTTTGACAATCCCGAGTACTGGCAGCACAGTCTCCCTCCAAAGTCCTCACTGCACAACCCAGAGTACCTGCAGGACTGCAGCACACGCTTCTTCTATCGACAGAATGGACGCATTCGCCCTGCCGTGGCAGAAAACCAGGAGTACTTGTCTGAGGCTGCTATGAAAGCTGGAAATGTATTGCCACCCCCTCCATACCGGCAGAGAAACACGGTGGTGTGAGAAATATGGTGATTGTGAATATCGCTCTCTTTTCACACCAGACTTCTCCGCCTTGGTTCTCTGCATCTTCTCTGAACATTTCTTTTGGTCACATCTGACTGCAAGTTAACTTTTCACTCTGGGGCTCTGTCCTTTCATAACAGAACAACAATTGTCTACTACAGCCTCAACTGACCCTCAGACCATCGACCATTGAATCCATTCTTGGCTTTGAACCCTAAAGCAACGAATGACATCTCTGTCTCGGCCTGGAGCAAACTGCCTTGGAATTTTTAGAAACAGGAACAAATAGAACACACAATCAAGGTTGGAAAGAAACTGATAAAAAAAAAACATCAGGAATTAACTGAGGGTGGCCCAAAAAAGATGATTTACATGATCGTTCAAGATTGTTTTACAGTGTCTGGAATCATTACTCAAAGTTTTCGTTTATAGTTTTCCATTAATATAGATTGTTGCTTTCACAAGTTGGTCTTGCATTGATGAAGTTTACAGTAGAAATTAGTCCTGAGTGATATTTTGACTCGCCTGCAAACCGGTAGTCATTGTGTAATGGCCAGATGTGGCCTGCATTACATGCATATTTTACTTTTAATGTAATTCAATCATGCATCACACACGGCTTACACAGTGTCTGGAACAGGTTAATCCCCTTGACGGTCTGACACTTCTATAATAACCAAACATTAATTCACACATAAATACACTCACTGACAAATGAAAGTGCTCCCACTTGAAATATATTCTGGAGGACATTGACCTTGTACTGCAAGACAGAGAGTACGGATGATGGCATGCAGTGGTGCGGTGCCATGAAACTGGTCAACAGAAAAGGAAATGTCACCCGGTCTTTCATATCATCTAGAACCTGGTTGAAAGCATTTGTTAGATTATACCATGGATAGGTTTGGTTTTAAAAGGTTGATTTATGAAAAGATGACCCTTTAATATCCCACTGTCATTCCGAGTCCTGTTTCTCATTTACTTGATGAAGCTAAAAGATATTGCAATCTGGCCATTCCAATATTAGCATCACAAGTTGACAGTTGAAAGCAGAATTGTGACTGGCCCAGCTACTGGTTCCTGCTGTACTACAAATTGAGTTTCGATCAAAATCGGCACACATCCATCCATTCGTTATGCATACCGCTTATTCCTAGTAAGGTCACAGGCATGACACACAGTTATAGACAACTACTACATCCAAACAAAGAGCCTGATTATGCTCTCTCTTTGAGAATAGTTTTAAATCTTTTCAAGTCATCAGGGATCTGTATTTGTTTTTTCTTTGTCAATTTGTCTTATTTGTACATAGTACTGGAGAAGAGAATGCCCGTAAGAACACCACAAACAACTAGCCACAGATGAGCACACAAAAACCTGCTATTTATTAAGACAAGTCTGGAAAAGATGCTATGGTACATCAATAATGAGTATGACGTTTGGTTTTGCACCTGATTCAGTCATCAATATTTTCTATGTTATTGTTGGTGGAAAGAGTGCCACAACTCTAAAAACATGTCTACATCTTGACATGAAACAATGCATGGAGATAGGGACACTTTATTTTGTATCTCTGTATGACATTAATGGTGAGACATCACAGCCTTTTGTGCTCATATAATGCTGCCAAATAGCATCTGTTGTCAAATGACACTGGGGCCTAATTTAAGGGCTGATAATTTAACTGCTCTTAATGTTCTTGGACAGCTAAATAACTTTGCCGTTACACCCGCTCTAAGCAACGATTCATGCATATCTATTTTTTTCTATCATGTCGTAATTTCCAGTGACAAATGTTATTTTCATCATCATTTTACGAACAAGGAGATATTATCACTTCAAAGATTTAATAGAGTTTGGCTGGGATGGGAGATATGATGATTTTCAACAGCAAATAAATTTAGTCCTTTCCTAATGATGGTAGAAGCATCAGAAATGCATATTATTCTTAACTTAAACCTTTAGCATAGGCCAGCTCCACAAAACACTGGATCTTGCTTTTTTTTTAGAAAGTTTTACATTAATACAAATGATACTCCTCTATATTTTTTTCCATGTGAGAATACTTTGTTTTTCCCTTATGTTTATGAATGCTTAAAATGTTCTTTCCTTACAATCCAACATATTCCTACTGCCAACTTGGTTACGTGCCAATTTATTATTACACGTGTATTAGTTGTTGTTTTAGCAATGGAATTTTTCAATGAACAGGAAAGTCAGATTACTTTATTTTGGCCAACAAAGTCCCTCCTTAAAAGTTGCAGGTCACATTTTTTACAATATTAATTATGTTAGTTTTCACACTTTTCCCTTCTGTCATGATCATCTATGCCTTTTCCTAACTAACTTTAATGGACTGTTCAGGCTTTTGGGAAACACACACAAATGCTGCTAAAGACAAACTGGAAAGATACATACAGGTGCCCCAGCCAACTTCCTCTGTGTTATCTAAAGTTAAACTAGCGGGATATCCCCTTGCACAAAAAGACTCTCAGAATAAACTCAGCGATTTGATTCATCAAAACATTTCTTTTTATGATTCAACAATATAAAACTCTGCAACATGCCTTCATAGGCAGGTTCATTCAAATTGAAAAATTCCTTTTGATAAAATGGAGAGTGTCTTATCTGATTGCATGTCTCACTACTAATGTAAGCACCAAATTACAAGCACTGTTACACAACTTCATGCCTCTATGGTAAAGAGCCTGACGAGCAGTGCTGATGATGTATTACTGTACAAAGCACAGATGTTACCTGGCACAGTGTGTCGTCCGCCTCTCTGGTTTTATATGAAATAATAATCATCCAGTTGAGCTCCAGCTGAGGCACAAATTGCCAAATCATAAAGGCAGATCAAACCTATTGAAATAAAGGTATACTGGAAGACATAATAGTGCCATGACATAACACATGAAATGTGAATTTGATAGGCAATTTTACCATTAAGTATGGCATAACTTTGACACTCTGTCATCTGTCACTAATCTGATTGAATTTATCCAGATTGTGACTTATTTTTCCACTGTTTTCTATTCAACTATTTTGAATCCATATCTGTGTATGCTCTTTGCGTAAATGTGTAGAGTAAAAGCTCTCTGTATATTTGTTACCCGTGAGGTTTTTAGTGCCAGTGCTGACCAACGTGTGGCCTTGCAAATAAAAGCAACCCGAGTGACAGTCACCAAGGGGGTTGAAATGGAAGTGGAAAAATATAGCTAATCTACGGAAGAGAAAACCCTGTGGTGTTCTCCGCCAGTAGAGGGGGTTTAGCTTTTTGAATGCTAATTCACCCACTTTCCCATTTTGTTCTATGGGGAAATCAGATTCCCCCAACTTCTCATAGGCAAGAGGTTGTAATCCTGCAGCAAGTTTAATACTAAGGTATTACAATTCAAGAAACGTTGCCCAACCAATGTATCAGTGTTACACCAGGTGAGGAGAAGTTGCGAGCCCACTGTAACTGGCAGAGGGGACAGAGTTAAAAGCCATTCTTTATTTCTCATTGGAGATGACTGTTGAAATGCATGTAGCAAACATTTTTTTTCTGCATCTGATGCAGGAATCACTGGAAAGAAAAGCATCCAGAAAACAAAAGTAATTGTGATCAAATGCCGACATATATCATAATCTGCTGTAAGAGGTATATTTAATTTGTGTACATGCCCGAGTCCTTTGTGCATACGCAGGTTTTTGAATTGTGCAATCATACTTTTTATTTTTGTTTTTTAACTTCTTCAATGTTACAAGTTTCTTACCAAGCTCTGCTATGTGTTAACAGAGTTTGTGTGGCGGGTTTTTGTCCAGCATTTTAAGGTATAATTGGCATATTTTACCTCTTTCCATTTCAGAACTGGGAGGTTAGAATAGATAAGTCTATATTTAAAAAACATAGTCTAACCCTGTGTGATTTAAATGCCCAAATACTCTACAACTAGAAGCAACAGTTGATGTATTCTCTGTAAACTGTAATTAAGGCTAGTCTTTCTAACTCAAACCCTAACTCTGCAATTTGAATAGTTGGAAACTTCATTAAACCAGGCTATTCAAAATCTTAGACAGCAAGGACTCCCTAAATGACTGGTGCATGGGTAACTGCATTCTATTGATGGCAGTTTGGTCCCAAAATCAATAGCTGGTTTATATTATCACTTGTATTTTGTGGGACCTTTGAAATTTGACAACCCTTGACTGTCCTTTAAGACCTACATGGCCCAGAAATGAGGACTTTGGAGGTTTAAACTTTTGATCTGGGGCAGCAAAGCTTTATTTATAGAGCATGCTCTATTTCTATTATTTGATTATTCATATCATGCAGGCACTTTTCACTGCTCAAATAAATTTAATGAGTGATTTCATGGTGTTTGACATTTTCCATATGAAATACCACAAGGATTTACTAAACTAGAAACAGATTTGTTCTGTGCTTTACAAACACAAAACATATTTTTTAAAGAAAAACACAAAGCAGCTTATAAAAATATATTCTACCATTGTAGAATGAAACTGTGTATGGCAGTCATGGTGTGATTTTGCACTGATTCATACTGTAGATGTAAATTTGCCGATGCCATGATAACTGCGATGGATGACAGTGGTTACGTAAGCACACTTTACAGTGTATTAAACTGATGGTAAATAAAATTAATAACTGTCTTTTGACTAAGACATTTAGAAAATAGATTACTCAACAATTTTACAGCTAATGAAAAAAAAGGAATAATATTTTTATAGGTGACAAAATGGTGGCAAGGTGCATCTGTAAATAAAGCATTAGCTTTTTTCCAGCTAAAGTTTTTTTTTTTCCTCGAATTGTTTGTTTTAGTGGTCAATTGTATGTTATTCTTTTCTTTGGGGAATATCTTTTCATTATGTATATAGATATATACACAGTAAATATATATATGTATATATATATTCTGTAAATGTAGTTTTAAGAGTGATCTCTGACATCAGAAATGCCCGGCAGGTCTCCTTGTCACCCATCCACCCCATGA